TGTAATGGGATAGAGCACCACAAAGAAGTTCACTTGACAGCAAAGTACTTGAAACTTGTGCTATGGAGATAACTTGCATTTGGCAATGTTTTCATTTTATATGATTTTTGTGGTTTAAAAATGATATGCTTGTACAAAAATTCAAAATGGATGATATTTAGCAGAAAATTTAGAAAAAAATCTTTGTGACCTTGTGTTAGAAAAGAGTTCTTAAATACTACACCAAAAACAATCTATAAAAGAAAAAAAAATAAGTTGAACTGATAAATCACTACACATTAGAATGGCTAATTTTTAAAAATTTATTATTTTTATGTAATTAATTAATTATTATTTTACAGGCTGGCTGCTTAGCTCAGTGAGAGCCCAGTGTCGTAACACCAGCGTTAAGGGTTCTGAACCCATACTGGCCAGCCACACACACAAGATACATATACATATATATATGTATTTTAAGTGTGTGTATATATATATATGTAAAATAATTTTTTTTAACTGACAAAATTAAGTGCTCGCAAGAATACATAGCAAGTGGAACTCATACATTGCAAAATGGTACAGCTACTTTGGAAAAGAGCTTGGCAGTTTAATTTACCCAAGCAAAATGAAAAGCCACGTTCACATAAAAACCTGTAAGAGAATGTTTTTTAGCAGCTTAATTCATAATCACTCCAAACTGGAAACAACCTAAATGTCTCTCAATTGATGTTTGCATAAACAGTAATACATTAATATAATATTACTCTGTAATAAAAAGTAACTATTAAGGGCCGGCCCGTGGCTCACTCGGGAGAGTGTGGTGCTGACAACACCAAGCCAAGGGTTAAGATCCCCTTACCGGCTATCTTTAAAAAAAAAAAAAAACTATTAATAAACAGAACAACATGGATGAATATGAAATGCATTACAATAAGATCAGTGGTTGCCAGAGGTCATGGAAAAGGGAATGTTTGACTATAGAGGTAACTATAGGGGAGATGTAACTGTTCTATTATCTTGGTGAAGAAGAAAGTTACTCTTTGGCCTTGTAAGAGAAGAAAGTCTTATAAGCACTATAAATACTATGAGATTCTTCAAAAAGTTCATGGAAAAATGGAATTAAAAGATAATACAGATCTTCCCATACATTTTGTTTTGGCAGCTGGTGGGTATGGGGATCCAAACCCTTGACCTTGGTGAGCATCACACTTTAACCAACTGAGATAACCAGCCAACCCCCCTCCATGAATTTTTTTTTCTTTTGGTGGCTTGCCAGTACAAGGAATTGAACCCTTGACCTTGGTGTTATCAACACTGTGCTCTAATCAACTGAGCTAACCGGCCAGCTCTTGAACTTTTCCTGATGTATCATTGTATATATTTATAAGACTATAAGACTATGTAGTAGACTATAAGACTATACATTTGTCAAAA